TCCGCCTCCCCCCGCCATCCGCCTCCCCCCGCCATCGCGCCTCCGCCTCCGCTCGCCATCCGCCTCCGTCGTCCCGCCTTTCCCCGCCATCCGTGGTATTCAGGGTGATCCAGAGTGAGCGTGTGTGAACAGTGGGGTTGGACACAGTGATGAAGGTTGGGATGTTCAGGCACTGATGCGCCATAGCCTGTTGAAGTGAACTTGCATCTGAACTGTGTTCTTGATTTCCATATCTCCAAGCTTCGAGTGGGCGCCCTGTGCCAGTGTGAATCCCCATCTGTTTGCATGTATGTGAAGTGGACGTGAAAGCGAGTCTGATTGCACTGGTATCGGAGCTGGTTCCCGTTACCCCACGCGCCATAGTCATTGCTGATAGGGAAGGAGTCGCGCGCCAGTGAGGCGCCATAGTCGAGGTGCACCATCGGAGAAGGAAGTCCACCATAGCTGCGCTGCAGAAGAAGGTGCCGTGTACCTGCATTGAAGGCAACGACGGAGAGAGAGAGAGAGAGAGAGAGAGAGTTGAGCGATACAAGATTGGTTGTGGTCCAAGAGGAAGTGGTGGCCATAGCCACGGAGCTCAAACACGGAGTCACAAAGAAGGAAGGAGGAGACATAGCCGGGGAAGAAGGAAGGAGGGACAACGAAGTTGAAGACACACAAAGCCGAGGGTGAAAAAAAAAAAAAAAAAAAAAGAGAAGAGAGAGGAAGGAAGAAGAAAGGGGCGAGATAAAAGAAAGGTGAAGAAGGTGAAGAGAAGGGGAGTTGGAGAGGAAGAAAGTGCCAGCAGCCATAGCCGAGTTGGGAGTTGACCAGGTGTTGACCAGAGAGTTGACCGGGGTTTGAAAGTGTTGACCAAGTGTTGACCAAGGCGTTGACCGGAGCTGTGACCACGATTTTGATCAAGCTGGAGTTGGTATAATCTCGCCAAACCCTTAGCCTATCCCCTCGCCCTATGGATGTGCACTTACCCTATGGTACTTGCTGAGTCTGAGTCTGTCTGTCTCTTCTTTTCGAGTCTCTTCTGTCCAGGTGATAGGACTCCGTGTATGAAGGATAGGGCCTCGTTGACCAAACCCACACGGGCTGAGGAGGGCTAAAGGCTGTGTCTGACGACTCGACTGTCCCGGAGGACACAAACCCTCCCAAGGATCGATACTGACCGGCGGGCTGCTTGGTGTGGCACGGTAGGCCAAAAATCTGAGCTGTGGGCTGCACAACGGGCCGTCTAAGTCTTGAGAGAACCTGCTGATCGTGTCGTCCTGTCTGCGACGTTAAAGAATTCCTGAGGAGTTACGGGGGATCTCCTTAGATGCCTCCTAATCAGCAATAGGTTCTGTAGTGACGGCCGTGGTTTAGAGTCTAGGCTAGAGACCATAGTTGGCACGGTTCGATTCGAATCGTGTGGTGATTGAGTCGGTCTTAAGTTGAGTCAGTTAGGGGGAAAGTCTAAGTGGTGAGGAGTGGAACCGTCACTTGGTTGTGCGTCTATCACCATGGTTGACACGTGTACAGGAACGAGCACCTCCCCTTACACAGGAGCACAGGAGGCGAAAGACGCCGCCATCCTGAAAGAGAGAAGAGAGAAGAAGGAGGCCAAGAAGGCCTTGCTGGAAGAACAGGCGGCGAAGAAGAAGAAGATTGAGGAAGAGATGGCGAGGGAAATGGAGAGGTTGCAAAAGGAGGAGGAAGAAAAACTTTAAGTAGAGGCAAAAGAAGAGGTAGAGGAGCAGCCACTGGAGAGGAGAAGAACCGGGCAAAAAGGGGAATCCAATGGTGCGAAGGAGGATCCGTTGGAGAAAAAGATTACGAAATGGGTGGCCAATTTATCCCTGGGAGAAGAGGAGGAGGCACTAATGTATGTACCCAGGGAAGAGCAGGAGGCGGCCATGAAAGAGTGGGATGCAGAGGAAGATCCACTCAAGCGGCAAACAATTGAAGATGAGAAGAGGATGGAGTGGAAGCTGCGGCTGATGAGGGAAAGGAAAAGAAAAGTGGACGTAGTGAGTCAGGCGGCAAGGGAATTGGAAGAAGTAAAGAACCAGAGAGCGCAGATGGAGGCGCAGGCAGACCTATTGGGAAAGGTGCAGGTCATGGCGAGGACCATAGAGCGCCTGGCGCAGGTCCAGGAAGATCAACATCAATTTGTTAGGAATCAGGACAT